CCTCAGTCCCCTTCCCTTCCACATTCAATTCTATTGTAAAATCAGTGAAAAGAACTCTTTTAACTACTAAGTCCCTCCTCCAAAGTACAGCCAGACCTCCAGCTCTACCTATAGGGTCAACAACAAACAGACTATCATATCTCAGTCTCATCCTAATCTTATTCATAAAAAATTTTTTGTTTTTAGTTTCAGCTAAAAAGACTAACTCAGGGGAGTGGAGTCTCACAACCTCCTCAAGTTGGGAAACTGTCAAGGGGCTCCCAGCACCTCGACAGTTCCACACCACAGCTCTCATTGAGGGTTGGGAGCCCCATTAAGGTTGGACTCCACCACCATCAGCAAACACTCCCTGTCAACTTCTCCTTCCATCCCCTTAAATTTTTTCTGATCTCCTCCCCTTTGCTCCCCACAGTTTTCTTTTCCAATAGCCTCACCCTGCTTCCTCTTACCAGACTCCTCTATCTCCATACCAGAATTTTTCTCTCCCAATGGCACTCTCCTCCCAACCTCCTGCACCAATCTTCTCCACCCCCTACTACCTTTATACTTCCCAGAAGGCTTACTCTTACCCATACTTCCAGCAGCCTGACTTTTTCCCTTCTCTCTCCCCCCACCCCTACCCAATATTTCCTCTTCTCGACCCCCATCAAGCCACATGTTATCATCCCCCACCTTCTCATTCTGAACCAAACCCCCCTCCCCAAAGCTCTGTTCCCCTTTCTCCTCTATCTTGGGTCCAGCTATCACCCCATCCAAGCTCAGTTGGGCTTCAGCCCCCTTAGTCTTCTCAACTAGCTCTACCTCCCCTTTACTACCACTACTAATTATATTGCCTGTATTTCCTTCGCCCTCCTTCCCAATCCAGCTGGTTTCACTGCCCCCCCAAGGCAAGAGTAGATTAATTCCCTCATTCTCCTTATCAAAATCCCTCTGAGACTCCCCATTACTCTCACCATAATTTGAAAAGCCTTTATTCTGTCTTCTTGGGCTTCTAGAGTTACTAGCTCGCATCCAAGCTCCAAATTGTGTTTCTTTATCCAGGTAATTTCCTTTAATCTTACAATTTTTCTCATTATGCCCCAATAGTCCACAACAATAACAGAAATCAGGACACTTCTCATACCTAAACTCAATCCATCGCGCACTACCATTCATTCTAACAATAGTTCCCCTCAACAGTGGTTTCTCAATATTAACTTCCACTAAAATTTTAATATGTTTTCCATCTTTTCCCCCACCATTAGGAAGAATAACCTCTTTAACTGAATCAAACACTCCCCCAATCTTGCGACCCATCTCTTTAGTTATCCAATGGATTGGAAGGTTCCAGATCTGCACCCAAAGCCAAGTTTTACTAAAAGCCATAACATCTATCTCTATCCCCTCCCTCCACGGCATCACAACCAATGGGGAATTATCATACACCCACGGCCTCCCATTCAAAACTCTGTCCATATCATTTTGGTTCACGAAAAGAAATTGAAATAGATTCACACCAATTTCAACAACCTTCACATTCTTAGCAAAAATCCATATATTACTGGTAAAACTCTTAATACCTGCAATATTGGCCACCTTCTCACCAATCACTTTGCCAATGATGCTCAATCTGCATTCCGCCACTCCCTGGAGAATATCCTCCCCCTCAATTTGAATTCCTACCACCTCTTTCTCCGAAAGATCAAATTTCCTCAGCACTTCCTCAAGCTCCTCAGCCATTGCTACAATACTCAAAGACGTCGCACCGATGATCACAGGATGATGATCCACTACACACCAGTTCCAAGAGGAAATCTGGAGAAACAGAAAGGGAGCAGTTAAACGCCAAGATTAGCAGATAACGAAAAGGACTACTACCGCCCTATCCTAACAACGAAGACGGCAGCAAAGAACACCGCTGGAAGAAAAATGAAAACACAGAAAGCAAACTAAGGAAAAACAAACGAATCTGGCTCCAGAACCAGCTCTATTAAGATTGGAAAGCTAGCTCTGTTCATTAGTTGAGCAGATCCAGCTAACCAAATCTTCACGAAGAAAGTACACAAAGGATGCAGTCCAAATCCATATTCTATGTGTTAACTTCAGAAATGCATTCATTGTTTATCAAAGCAAGACAATCAGATGAATCTATGGCTCTGAAAGAGAGGAAAACGAACTGTAAAAGTACAAAGGCGGCAAAGTTTAAACCACCCACTAGGGGGAGAGAATCTCTACTAGAGAGAGAAAGGAAACTCTCATAGAGAGAGACTATCAATTAAGGTCGTAATTAAAGCTTTTCTAAGAACAGAAAGTTTTGATTTTGCGATATAGATAAAGCTAGTTGACTTGCTAACCAAGCATAAAATTAATTGGCTATTAACAGTTGCTTTAATAAATTTTTTTATTCTTGAACCAAAAAAAGAAAAAGAAAATTCATAAAATATTACAAAATGATACTCTTTTTTTTTATTTGGTTAATTGGAAATATCTGTTTTACTCCTACTCTAACCTATTCTAGGGGGCCCAACGAGGCCATTGGGAACCAACCAGGATTGAACTTAATTTAACTAATTCTAATCCTCCCACAATGCATATCTAAATACATGACACGTGTTTTCATTTACTAGAAAAGGACATAATCATTTTAATTTGACAAATTCTAATCCTTATTAATAAATGAAGAAATGTTTAATCGAAAAGGACATGATTATTTTGAATTTGACTAATCTTAATTCTTGTAAAAAAATGAAGACATGTGTCATGCATCTAGATGTGTATTGTAGGAGAAATGGAGAGAGAATCTATTAAAAAGGAACTAAATTGGACTGAACCTAGCCTATACTAAGGTGCCCCAACTTGGTCATTGGAGAATGACGGGGATTAAACCATCATTGAACAAGACGGATACACTATATACATTTAATGAATTTGGAGAAACTATATGTATGTGACAAAAGTGATGGGAGGAACGATTTGAACCTTAACCTTCAACCTTATAAAAACTTAGATCTTTTGTGGTGGCTGATAGCCTAGGGAGTCATTGAATAATGTTTTTTATTCAAATAATTATCATACTCCAAGAAAAAATAACTTTCTAAGTTTTTTTTTTTATTTTTTTGGGTGGGGTGTGCCAGGCCATCGTAGCAGTGCAAAGCATGGGCGATGCTCCAAAGCCCCGGTAGTAGGCTACTGTCATGGGCCTTCCCTCCAGAAAAATTCATCTAATATTGGCCCACGTTTCAATTATTAAACGGATAAGAACAGATGCTGCACTACACTTAATCTTAGGCGAAAGGTCAAGAAAGGTATAAACCTTTTGAATTGATCATTTGCAGGTTGACGAGGCTAAACATTGGCTTCGTTTGGAAAATTAGTTTTCTAGATATTTATCTAAAATTTTACTGTAATTTATTATAAAAATTGTAAAAAAAAATTTTTAAATGTGTAAATTTTTGGATATTTTGAAATGTATATTTTAAAAATCTCGAAAAGTTTTTTAATGTTACTGTAGTTAAAGTTGTTAAAAAATTTGTAACAGACAAACTTGACAAAAAACTTGTTTGTCAAACAGGCCCAATAGTTTTCTTTCATCCTTGCTATTGTACTTGTGACACTTTGGATCCCAAAATTCTATTTGTCCTTGCACGTAGTTAGATTGGAGTTCTAGTTTCAAATGATAGACTTTTTTTTTCCTTTCAAAGAAGTCAATCGAAAGGCTTCAATGAAAACCGTTAAATGAAATTGACATACATAAATTCTTAGTTGCTGAAAGCTGAAATTTCTGCGCGACAAAGTGCATGTCACAACTATTGAAAAGAAAAAAACTTAAGATAGCTTGGTTGGTGGGACATTGATGTAGAAATTTTTTTTGTTGTTCAAAATGTAACGAGAGTTCATTGTATCACGCAATACTCAGAGCAGGTTTCGTATATGAATTATATTGGGTAGAAAACATTTCACGGTTGACCAAACTTAGTTGTCTTTTCTGGGTTGCAGATGCCCCAATCCTTATTAAACATCTAAGGCCCTTCAGCTTCTAGCCAGGATATGGACAAAGTAAAAAATTCTTGAGTTGAATGGTTCAAACCATTAAATTCTAATATGTGGGGACTAAGATTCCGACCTCCAACCTTCTACCAAAACGGATTTAATATTTTATAGCATCTACTGAATTTTCATGGTTGACTTCAGTCAATTTTTATTGCTCAATAGATGAGATTCACCGAAAATTAGCTAAATGATGAAACTGCGCAGAAGTTTTTTGCGTCAACCACAACCAAAGAGAAAGTAATGAAATGATTAGTACTTTAACAATACTACTCAAAAAGACATACTGAGGCTGATGAAAACGTTTAGCGTATAAACTCCTGTTTGTCCTTTATTCTATTTTTACTAGTCAATACATGGAGGACTAATTCTACTTTGTACTATCCAAACTTGTGCTCCATTCTCACGTTATATATTAAGTTTTAATTTTGAATACTTTAAAGTTTAACGTTTCCAACTTAAATCCAATCGATAACAACGCTAGGAAAATTAATGAAATAGAGGATTATGCACAAAATGTGCTTTTTTGTATGATAAATAGGAATTGCGAGATGATGGTAAATACACTACTATCTATTCTTGTGACTAAGATATGCATTGTGTATATGATGCTCTGTTCAGTTGGTTTTTGTTAACGTTGTTATTGATTGAAATTAAATGAGACAAATCTAAGAAGTTGGGGCGCAAAGTATTTAAAATTAAAGTTAAGATGCAAAATGAAATGGTATAAGTTTAGGGGTACAAACTGAAATTAGTCCATACGTGAATGATTTCATAGAAAGAGAGGCTTATGACGAAACTGCTTCAGAATTTCTCATCTCATAGTCGAGTCAGCAATGCTATGTCTATAAATCAATACTTGCGGTGGTTAGAGTATGCTTCATAACTTGGACTCCCACTTAACCCAAAAAAAAAACCGCTTCTTCTTTCTTCTGCCTGTTGTTATTCCAATTTCTGCGAATTAACTCCAAAAGATGGACTGCAGAAAATTTGAGATAACCCTTTTGTCAGCAAATGACTTGGAAGATGTTCGAAAATTTTTCAAGATGAAAGTTTACTTGAGGGTTTCAATAGGGGGAAGCAGCGAAGCAGAGAGGAGAACTCCAGCAGACAAGCATGGCGAGGTCAACCCTGCATGGAATTTCACTTTGAAGTACACCATAAATGAGTCCATGGTACAACATTTCAACACTGTGCTCGTCATTAAACTGTACTGTAAACGTAAACTAGGGGATAGGTACATAGGAGAAGTTCATACCTCCATGAAAGATTTGTTTGATTATGCATATCCTGTTGGGGGCAGTGCTGTTGTGAGTCATCCTGTGCAAAATGGTTCTGTGAATTCACAAGGAGTTTTGAGGTTTTCTTATAGGTTTGGGGAAAAGGTATGCATCGACAAACTCCTGTTAGCTGAAAGTCTTGCTGATTGGAGTTCATGGAATTTTGTTTAGTTGAAGGTTTGGGGAAAAGGTATGCCTCTGACAAACTCCGGTTAGCTGAAAGTCTTGCTAATTGGAGTTCATGGAATTTTGTTTAGTTGAAGCTTTTGTAAATTTTGTCCCTTGATCTATCATCTATCTTTGTCGATAGCAGAATAGAACGAATCTGCTATCATCCCTTTCCTCCTTTTCCATCCAGCTTTGTATTCTTAACTTAAGAATAAGTACCATTAATGTCTAATATTCAGTCTCATTAAGTTCTCGAATTTTTGTTTTAGCTTTGTTACCCTATAATGAGTGTACCACAAATAGGAGATTGGGCTCGCAAAAGGACAACGTGTGCAACTCTAGAAGTAATGTTTAACACTTAAAAAGAAAAATTGACTTAACAATTCAACAAGATTTAGGGAATTAAATAATATATTCAGTGGGCAAGACCAGATTACTAAGCCTACGTTTATTCCGAGTTATAGTAAATTATACTAGGATGGAGATCTTTACATTCACCGAACGAAATTTTTACATGGACCAACCTGGGGGTGGCAATTGGGTCCAAATCAGCTTGACGGGTCCGATCAAGATCCGACCCGTCAGAAAATCTGTTGACCCGAACCCGACCCGTCAACCCATGACGGGTCAGGTATGCTGACATGAACCCGAAAGTTTCAGGTTGGCGGGTCAAGCGGGTTGACCTGAAACGACCTGAAATTTAATTCCCATTTATTGATTAACCGGCTGTGATTTTTAATAGAATCAATTCCAAACTAAATTAAGACATCATAAGAGTAAAAATAATGTAATACATCATCTATCCAAATTACTAAATCCTCTGCCACCATAGAATAAGAAATAATCAAGAGATGACTAACAGAAATTTAACCATATGTACATATATACATAATTGCTATACATAGTTTTTCTGAGGTCAAAGCCTGTGCAAGGAGATTTCACTACCCAAGAAAAATCGTAATAAATGGTTTTTTGAGGTTGGAAAGGCCGGTAATTGATTTCCGGTGAACATTTTACCGAAGAGACTTTCTGGTGTGTGTGTATGTGTTAGAGAAAGAGAGAAAAAGTGGAAGCAGTTATATAATGTAGTTAAAATGTAAGTGACAAAACACAAGGTTTCATCTTTTTGCCTCTGTTTTTAGAAAAGAGGGAAAATGCTCAAGAAAAGAAAAGAAGTAAAGAACTCTACGGATTGAGCAAGATTGAGCAAAACAATGTGATTGAGCAAGATAGTGAAATCCCTGCGAGATTCTGCGTGCTTGGACAATTGGACTGCTCATTCAATACAAACCTGGTTATGGTCATCAAATCAGTCCTATGTGCATCAGTGTCATCATTAGCCAGATCTAGATCTAAATCTGGTTTTGCGTTTAGATTTTTGGAGGAGAAAAGCTGCGTTTAGATTTTTGGAGAAGAAAAGCTGAAAAGAGGAAGAAAGATTTGGACGCGGGGCTGGAGCGGTTGCTCTGACAACCACTCCGGAAGGTGTAACACCATTTGTACATGGTGTAACATCATCTGTACAAGATATAACAATAGAACAACAGCGGGTAACACTAGAACAACATTTTTGTGGGTCCCACACAACGTGAAAATCGAGTTACAAGATGTGATCTGAGCCGCACAAATTTTTGAAGCCTCATCCAGGCCGTGAACTGCCTGGGACAGTTGTCTCTGACAACCGTCCAGGCCCCTCGTCCGAAAGATTTAGGGCCAGCGTGATTTCTGCTTCTGCGTAGTGATAAGTGATAATTGGTATATTATATTTAGTTATTTACTATTAAGTTTTTAGATACTTTTTTAAATATTTATTTATTTATTTTTATTTTAAAATCGGGTTAGTGGGTCAACCCGTTTTTAACCCGATTTTGACCTTTTTTTTTCGGGTTTGTCGGGTCTGACCTGATTCTGACCCGATTTCTCAAAATTTAAATCCAAACTCATTAATTTCATGTTAGGTTCGTATCAGATTTTCAAGTCGTGTCGAAAATTGCCACCCCTAGACTAACCTGACGTGTTTTCAAAATTTTGTAGCATGGGAGAGCGGAATTTAAGAAGTAAGAAAGGGGAAGGTAAAATGTAAATTCAGAATTTCTAATTTCTAAAGTTTTAAATGTAACAACCAGACCAAACCCGCTTAAGAGACCAAACAGACATTTAATGTCTCTAGCTACAAAATATGACTATAAAGTTTTCAACAACTACAAGCTAGCTGCAGATTATGATAATAAGCTAGCAATGAAAGTGAAGGTCTTTAAAGTAAAGTCACCCATTAACTTTTTTAAAGTGAAGTTCTCTTTAGCCACTTGTCTGTATCTTTTTACATAGGGTGGGATCTCTATGATGAAGTTAGGGTATGTGTTCGAAATTAAACTCAATTCATAGTTAAGTTTTATATTTATAAATTCCTAAATACACTTTACATGTGATTTTTTGCAAGTATATAGGTCGTGATTAAGTATAGGGTATTATGGATCGAAACACAAGAAAGATTGAACACTTACCAACACTACTAAAATTTTTCTATTATTTAGATGATTAATAAATTGAAAAAAATAAAACTAAACTAAAATGTGCAAGAAAATAACAAATGAAAGTGGTCATAGTATCCCTAACTACTCATGCATATGCAAATTTTTGAATCATTGAGCACTAATACCTCGACTAATTGTGGCGTAATTTTCTTATGCATGTAAAACCTGCTCTCGTAGTGAATGAAGTATACCTATAGCTAATCCATACCTAATTTGTGATTATGAAATTAACTACAAGTTCATTTCTTCTTTGAAATTGCATGAAATAAATCACCAAGGCCACAAAAATGCACATTTACTTTTGCGAGTGTTCTTCCTTGAACTAATATTAAATTTCAATTTTCATTGCAAATCTAATATTTTAAGATTATCACAATTAATGGCAACCATAATTAGATAAGCAAAAATGCTAAATAACTAACTCAAAATAATAGCATTAAATAACCAAGAAATCCATACAACACAATCATAGAAAAGTCAACCAAAATCTAAGGTATAAACTTTAGAAAGACATAATGAAATCCAAGTTTGTATTATAACTAAATATGAAATATCATTAATCAATTGGGATATCAATCAATCATACAAAAATTCCAATCAATCACGTGGATCAAATCACTTTATCAATTACAAGGTGTTTAATTTTTTTGAATGGCCATCAACCTTTTGTCAGCAACTAATTCAATGATTACGTAATAGTTTCTTAATTAGAAACTATTAATTAAAATTAACATATGAATCATGGTAGTCATACTCTTAGGGCGAAAATTTTCTTTCACGTATTACGGTGTATAACTTACTACAAGTCTATGCATATATTAAAATTATACATTTTATGCATGACTTATTGCAAGTCTATAAGCAACTCGAGGTCCAACTTTATGAATGACTTACAAATTATTCCACAAACTTATGTAATCATAGGTATATTGAGTGTCTATATAATAACAATAGTTTGAAAATAATAGCAAAATATCAAATAAACTAATGAGTTTCTTATTAATCATTTATCATTAACAATTTAGCCGACAACTTTAAATATTACATCAATAATCATAACTCCTGACTATGTATTCATGTACATCTACCTTTTGCTTCTTGAATATTATCTCCAACTATTGAATATCTTATGTCGTTTGCTTTTCCTACCTCCCATGCTTTCGTGCATGCATAATGAAAAGTGCATATATAGCCAAGTTGGATTTTTGTAATGGTAAATGAAATATGGACAAATTTTAGGCTAAACAATTGATGCTCGTGATATAATTTTATAGCATTCTTCGTAAACTCATTCCAATTGATGATGTTAATGTTATGCAATTGTTCACTATTATACAGTAGATTACCAAAAAGGCAATACTTTATTCTTTATCTTTAAGAATTTTTCCATGCAGATTTTAAGGTAGACTAACTACCCTTTATATTCTATCATTATGAAAGCCAATGATCTAATAGGCTTCACAAATATCCTTCAGCCAACAATTCTTTGTCAAGGAAATTTCTTATCGCAATATAGTAATATTGAGAGAATTTCCCTAGAGTTATATATATTACTCAACCAATGTTGATGCATATTAATTTACCAGTACAACAATTTAATATACTATTGAAGAAAAAAATACTATTGAAGAGTAGCAATTTAATCTATCTTTTCTTTAACTTGCATTCTCTTTTAATAAGTATATTATGGTGACACATGTACACCTAATCATCAAGATCCACGCCAAGGATATTAGTTGTATGAATTGATAAATTCAAATTTACACCTAAATTGTACGAGCTTACAACAAAAGTTGTCAATATTACACAAACTAATTTGAATTGGACAGAACTTAACTTGTGAAGTCCTTAATCTATGAAGGAACTAGGATAGGGCCTACATTTGTGAGCTTTGTTTGGAATGGGTTTAGACTAAAAATGGGATGCCTTACTTAGGCTAAGCTCTGGCTTAGAAAAGCCCAGCTACCTGGGCCAAATTGACTGCTCTATTTTATCCAAGTTGTGCACTCCTTTGAATTTGGAAAAAGGTCCGAGTCACTGAAATAGGAGAAGAGAAAATTACAAGTGAAACTGCTGAATACTTTTTTCCCCCTTTTTGGTGCTTTTAACGTGTTATCTTATAAAGAAAAAAATACGAGTCTAGGAAGAGAAAAATACTGACATTTCTACATCATCAACTGCCAGTTGTCGAAACGAGACCAACTGATAATGCCATCTCAAAACTAAGAATAGAAAAAACACAAGTCAAGTCTCCAACAATTCACCCATCATGCTCAATTGGCTTCGAATTCTCTGTTCACAAAGTAGTTTCTGTCCCATCTATCTACTCTGTCCCTTATTTATACAGTTGCCACGTGTCTCTAATATTTTGTCAATCCAAACTCAAATAAATTGATAATAATCGGTTTACAAGTTTATTCAAAATCAATTAAAACAGATAACTCAAAACTTTTTTTATTTTCTTTTTAA